AGGATGAAATTAAGACACATGCACAACACCCGGGCATCCCCATCGTAGACGTTTCGCCATCCAGCCAGCCACTGGATGGCGAAACGTCCACAACAAAGACAGCCAGACGCCGCACATGTGTCTTAATTTCAACAGTAGTGGTAGTAGAAGAAGAAGAGGTAGTAGTAGTGGTAGCGGAAGAAGTGGGAAATAAGGAAGACGAGCCAGTCAAATACAAAGGAAGGGGAGCACTGCAAGAGAGCTAGATACCCACAGAGGGAGAGCAAGCGCACAGAGGTGCGTGAAAGGGGTAGTGGTGAAATAAAATAAATGAAGAAGGAACAGAAACACGAGACAGGGGAGAGAAAGACAACCCAGAGGAGAAAAGGAGAGAGGAAAGGGGAAGAGGAAGAAGAAAAAGAAAAAGAAAAAGTGAGGATTCAGGTTAAGTCACGGGTGTTCTGAAGTTTGGAGCATTTTACAATGTAGTGGGAGAGGAAGGCATCTACAGAGACGAAGCCAGGGCTAAGGTTCATACAAGGAAAGTTGTGTATTAGAGAGGATTCAACTAGACGGCGACTGTTCGAGTTGGAAGTAGGGAAGACAGTTTTAGCAGAAGACCAGTCAATAGGATGGCTATGATCTCTGACGTGACAGAAAAGAGCATTGTTAGTGTCGGCAAGCCTAACACTATTTTTGTGCTCCCTAAGTCTGTCAGAAAGAGATCGACCAGTTTCACCGAAGTATTGAAGAGGACAGGAGGAGCAAGAAATAGAGTAGACACCAGGAACATCTGTAGAGGGAGGAGAGGTATGAACGAGATTAGTGCGAAGAGTGTTAGTCTGGCGGAAGGTAAGCTTAATGTCTAAGGGACGGAGAGAATTGTTGAGATTAGAAAGACCGGAAATGTAGGGAAGGCAGAGGATAGAAGAGTTCCCATGAGTAGAGAGTTTGGGAGAGAAGAAATTGCGTTTAGCACCTATTACATACATAGAACACTTAACTCTGATATTAACCCTCCCCTCAAACATCTCCTTGCCAACCTCAACAGAACACATGACCATAACACAAGGCACAGATCACTCTTTGATGTTCCTCGCGTCCATCTCACGCTATGCAAAAACTCAATGCACATAAAAGGCCCTAAAATCTGGAATTCATTACCTGTAAATATAAAAGAAACACTACCTGTTTATAAATTCAAATCTCTTCTCAAAGATCACTTACTCACCCAAAACCAAATAAATACTGAATAACTGAACCTTATAAATTGTATATCCTAAATGTTTCTCACAATTATATCACATAAATGTTAAACCTAGGACCCAATCTAACTTTGTTATTTTTTAAATACACTACCTAACAGAATACTCCATTCTACTGAATGTACAGCAATGCATGCAACCATATGACCTGTCTTTGTAATACTCATTTGTGCTTTATAGTTATCTGTTTACAGTAATGTCTTATCACTGATTTCATCATTGCTTAGTTAATCTTAAGTTAATTTTAAGCCAGCCCGTAATGCTATGCATATAAGTGGCTTTGGCATGCTGCTCTTACCTGTATTTTTTTGTACCTCTGTATGTATGCTAAAATTACTAAATAAATAAATAAATAAATAAATCACCTTAGGCGAGTTTTTTATCGTTATGTGAGCCAAAATTTTTACATTCAAACGCTTCGTTAGGCGGCTGTAACGTTATGCGATGCGTTCGTTAGACGAGGGTCCACTGTACGTGTAATCTCTTGGGCACCTTAAATGTTGTATGTTATGTTAATACAGTGGACCCCCGCTTTACGATCAGCTCCCAATGCGACCAATTATGTAAGTGTATTTATGTAAGTGCGTTTGTATGTGTATGTTTGGGGGTCTGAAATGGGCTAATCTAATTCACAATATTCCTTATGGGAACAAATTCGGTCAGTACTGGCACCTGAACATACTTCTGGACTGAAATAATATTGTAAACCGGGGGTCCACTGTACAGGTATTTCCATTAATCCATCTATGATATTTTTGTCAAAATTACATAATAATCATGCTATGTAACATATAAACATGATACATACACCCACAGTATAAAAACTGACATAAATATGAGATGTGTTTACCAAGCAGTTTGTAGGAGTGTCGGAAGAATTACGTTTTTTCTAGTCAAACACCAGTTATTGGGGGATAACTAGAAAAATATTACTTTCGTATGCCTTCACTCTATCTATAGCTATTCATGACCCTTGTGGGTTTAGCACTTCTTTTTTATGATTATAATAATAATAGTAATAATAATAATAATAATAATAATAATAATAATAATAATATCATCATTCACTCTAAAAATGGTGTGCTGCATGAGAATGGGAATGTTGCTGTTTATTTATTCTTCTGTACTAACTTGTTAGAGCAACCTTCCTTCTAAAAATGACGTGACATGAGATTGGAAGTGTTGCTCTTTATTTATTCTACTGTACCACTGTGGAGACAACTTGTATACAATGCAAGGTGTTTGTATGAACGTGTATGAACCATAACCAGACGCATTCATCCGTTTGTTTACATAGTACTGTGCATGAGTGGGGTGGCCAGGAGGGCTACCATACCTCCCACACCTGACTTTCTACAAATAAATACTTTTCACCTCTCACCCTACGTTAAGACCATTAAGACTACAGATATTTTACGGTAAGTAATGAGTGTACTGTATATGCATTTTATCACTCTAGGGCACTTTAAACATTGCAGTATATTATGTGTGGGTGGGGTGGCCAGGAGGGCTACCATAATGCCAGACAAGTGGAAAATGGCACATGTAATACCTATTTACAAGGCAGGTGACAGGTCCTTAGTTGGTAAATAGTTGGTAAATTTATGGAATCAATAATTGCCGAAGCAGTTCATAGCCATCTTGAAAGGCATAAATTGATTAATGAATCTCAGCACAGTTATGAATTTATTAACTTTCATCACTAAGGTATTTGAGGAGGTAGATCATGGTATTGAATATGATATTGTGTATATGGACTTCAGTAAGGCTTTCGACAGAGTTCCACATCAGAGGCTGTTGAGAAAACTTAAGGCACACTGAACAGAGGAGAAATTTTTTCCTGGGTAGAGGCATGGTTGACAGGCAGCAGAGAGTTTGTATAAATGGGGAGAAATCAGAATGAGGGCACATCACAAGTGGTGTTCCACAGGGGTCAGTGTTGGGCCCCTTGTTGTTCACGATCTACATAAACAATATAGATGAGGGAATAAATAGCAACATAAGCAAATTTGCTGACACCAAAATAGGCTGTCCAATTCATTCTAATGAGGATATTAGAGCACTCCAGGATGATTTGAATAGACGGATGCAGTGGTCGGAGAAGTGGCAGATGCAGTTTAATATAGACAAATGTAAAGTTCTAAATGTTGGACAGGAAAATAACCATACCATATATAAACTAAATAATGTAGATCTTAATATTACAGATTGCAAAAAGGATTTAGGAGTTATGGTTAGAAGTAATCTGAACCCAAGACAACAGTGCATAAGTGTTTGCAATAAAGCTAACAGAATCCTTGGCTTCATAGCAAGAAGTATAAATAATAAAAGTCCTCAGGTTGTTCTTCAACTCTATATGTCTTTGGTTAGGCCTCATTTAGATTATGCTGCACAGTTTTGGTCACCGTATTACAGAATGGACATAAATGCACTGGAAAACGTACAAAGGAGGACGACAAAGTTGATCCCATGTATCAGGAATCTTCCCTATGAGGACAGGAATTAATAAAGGGGATGTAAATAGCATGCTAAAAATATCTAACATAGACAGGACTCGCAGCAATGGCTTTAAATTGGAAAAATTCAGATTCAGGAAGGATATAGGAGAGTACTGGTTTGGTAATAGAGTTGTGGATGAGAGGAACAAACTCCCGAGTACCGTCATAGAAACTAAGATGTTGTGTAGTTTTAAAAATAGGTTGGATAAATACATGTACATGAATGGGTGTGAGTTGGACCCGACTAGCTTGTGCTACTAGGTTGGATGCCGTGCTCCTCCCTTAAGTGACGTGTCTGACCTCACTAGGTCAAGGCATTGACTTAAGCTGGTGGGAGAATTGGACCTGCCTTGCATAAGCCAGTAGGCCTGTTGCAGTGTTTCTTCTTTCTTATATTCATACCAACCACACGTGACTTCTTACAATAAATACTATTCACCTTTTGCCCTACATTAAAACTACAAATATTTTGAGGTAAATTATGAGTGTACTGTGCATGCATTTTACACACTGGAGTTTACCTGGAGAGAGTTCCAGGGGTCAATGCCCCCGCGGCCCGGTCTGTGACCAGGCCTCCTGGTGGATCAGAGCCTGATCAACCAGGCTGTTACTGCTGGCTGCACGCAAACCAACGTACGAGCCACAGCCCGGCTGATCAGGAACCGACTTTAGATGCTTGTCCAGTGCCAGCTTGAAGACTGCCAGGGGTCTGTTGGTAATCCCCATTATGTATGCTGGGAGGCAGTTGAACAGTCTCAGGCCCCTGACACTTATTGTATGGTCTCTTAACGTGCTAGTGACACCCCTGCTTTTCATTGGGGGGATGGTGCATCGTCTGCCAAGTCTTTTGCTTTCGTAGTGAGTGATTTTCGTGTGCAAGTTCGGTACTAGTCCCTCTAGGATTTTCCAGGTGTATATAATCATGTATCTCTCCCGCCTGGGCATATTTCCTTTCACCTGCTGACCCGGTTCATCTAAGAGTAAGTAGGGACATGGCAGGTACTTCCCACCTCCAGAACTCAAGTCCAGCTAACCAATAAATTCATCTGTGCACAATTAAAAAAAAATGTCTGGAAACTGGGAGGTGATTATGTTTGATCTAAGGAAGGGGAGGATAGCTCTGATTCCCTGGATCATGAGTCCTTCACTAGCCTCAAGGCATTTCCTTTGATGGGTATAACTAAAATTGTATTATCAGGATATGGTGTTATAAATGCTAATCCAGAAAGTTAACTGAAATTATATTTTACTTCCTTACCCTTAATAATGACATGGCAAGTTATGTTCCTCTTGTCCCACCCTTTTGTTTATCTCTATCATATGTAAAATAATCAAAGGTTTCTTTCCATGACTGTTGGAGTTGTAGCGAGGTGTGATGTCTTGCTGTTCTCTGGTAGGCTTGTATGTGATAAAGTCCTGGTGATTATTCGTGTTTCCATATCATCTTCCTGAAATTTTTCATGTATAATTATTATTATTATTACAATCATAACTAAGAGCTAAAGTATTATATTATTAGTGTATTAATTTTTTTTTATTATTATTAACACACTGGCCGATTCCCACCAAGGCAGGGTGGCCCGAAAAAGAAAAACTTTCACCATCATTCACTCCATCACTGTCTTGCCAGAAGGGTGTTTTACACTACAGTTCTTAAACTGCAACATTAACACCCCTCCTTCAGAGTGAAGGCACTGTACTTCCCATCTCCAGGACTCAAGTCCAGCCTGCCGGTTTCCCTGAACCCCTTCATAAATGTTACTTTGCTTACACTCCAACAGCACGTCAAGTATTAAAAACCATTTGTCTCCATTCACTCCTATCAAACACGCTCAGGCATGCCCGCTGGAAGTCCAAGCCCCTCGCACACAAAACCTCCTTTACCCCCTCCCTCCAACCTTTCCTAGGCCGACCCTACCCCGCCTTCCTTCCGCTACAGACTGATACACTCTTGAAGTCATTCTGTTTTGCTCCATTCTCTCTACATGTCCAAACCACCTCAACAACCCTTCCTCAGCACTCTGGACAACAGTTTTGGCAATCCTGCCCCTCCTCCTAACTTCCAAACTATTAATTCTCTGCATTATATTCACACCACACATTGCACTCAGACATGACATCTCCACTGCCTCCAGCCTTCTCCTCGCTGCAACATTCATCACCCATGCTTCACACCCATATAAGAGTGTTGGTAAAACTATACTCTCATACATTCCCCTCTTTGCCTCCAAGGACAAAGTTCTTTGTCTCCACAGACTCCTAAGTGCACCGCTCACCCTTTTCCCCTCATCAGTTCTATGATTCACCTCATCTTTCATAGACCCATCTGCTGACACGTCCACTCCCAAATATCTGAATACATTCACCTCCTCCATACTCTCTCCCTCCAATCTGATATCCAATCTTTCATCACCTAATCTTTTTGTTATCCTCATAACCTTACTCTTTCCTGTATTCAGTTTTAATTTTCTTCTTTTACATACTCTACCAAATTCATCCACCAATCTCTGCAACTTCTTTTCAGAATCTCCAAAGAGCACAGTGTCATCAGCAAAGAGCAACTGTTACAACTCCCACTTTACGTGTGATTAATATGTATTAATATGCATTACTATTACATTCAAAGGGGGAGAGCTAAACCTGTGTAAGTCATACAGCACAAGGAGAATGGGAGGTAGATTAAATTACATCCAAGAAAGGCGAGGCTGGCTTCATTTCCTTGGAGCACAAACACCTCACCTACAACAAGGCACCTCCCTAGAATGGGAAGTTCGATCTGAGGAAAGGGATTATATTCATGGAGTGCTACTAAGCCTAAAGGGATCATACAGCTGAGGAACGCGAGGGTAGTAAGTTGATTTAGGCACAAGTACAATTATCATACAGTGTAAATTACATAGGACAACCCAAAAAAGTCAGTGAATTATTTCCATCGAGGTCCTTGAACATTAGTAACCCCTGGGGTTTTCGGATCGATATCCTCACTGAATCAAGGCACACACCTAGGCTGGGGAATGGGTGAAGTCACCTAGCAGCAAGTAGGCCACACCTGTGTTAGCAGACTCATGTGTGGTACCCTGAGGAAATTAAAGGACCCCAACAGAAATAAGAGCAATTGGCTTCCCTGTGTTATGGAAGCCACACCACTTGGTTTCCTTGGATTATCCTTGGTTATCAATCCTCCGGGTTAATAATCCGAATAAAATTTCTCACCAAACTCACGGACAAGTTGAAGCGCTGTTGTTATTGTTGTGGTCCAGACGGTCGCTTATATCACTTTTACTAGTCAGTTTTCTTTGAGTGTTCAAAATGGTACACATTTCTTTTCATTAACAGTAAGCTGACCCCGAGTTAAATTTAAGTGAGCCTATCTCATTCCTATATATCTGAAAGAAACTTTGGATTAACCTTATTTGCTTGTTTGGCCGAAATGGTCTACATATTAAGGGGCTTTCTGTATGCACACCTAATAATAATAATATTTTTATTTACTACAAGTACATGTACATGGTATACAGGTCTAGCTGACATCAATGACATACTACTATATAGCAAGCCCCTTGTTATGCTCAGCATTTTGGGCAAATTAGGTCAGTGTCCCAGGATGCGACCCACACCAGTCGACTAACACCCAGGTACCCATTTTACTGATGGGGAACAGACAACAGGGGTAAAGAAACACGCCCAATGTTTCTACTCTGGCTGGGAATCGAACCCAGACCCTCGCCGTGTGAAGCGAAAACGTTAGCCACCAGGCCACCAGAACCGTACAGCTTTTAAAATAAAAAAGAAGTGTTAAACCTACAAGGCCATACCACGTTCAACGCACCGCTTATCGTCCGATCAGCGAAGTTAAGCAAGACCCACGAAATCGTAATGACACGACGGTCCGAGTTTTGAGACACACTGATCGCGGGTTCTATCCCCATCCGTGGTATGGTAAGTTAAGCAACGTTGGGTTTGGTTAGTACTTGGATGGGCGACCGCCTGGGAACACCAAATGCTGTTGGCATAAATCTTGATTAAAGGACCCCAATGGAAATAAGTCACTGACTTTTTTGGGTTATCCTAGGTTCTCTACACACATGCTGCTATGTATGATAATCTATGTAACTATTTGTGTATACCTGAATAAACTTACTAAGGGTCCTACAGCACCTCCGTACAAACATTGTATCATGGTGAAATAAATCCAAATTTATATCTTGCCTCTTATTCCATCGCAACCTTAATTTTATATTCACTTTTGGCTCTCGTTACTTTGACTTGCTTACTTTAATGTCTTGCTCAACAAGGTGACCTTAGCCTTTTGATTCGCCTGTAAATGACTTCACCCAAGAGATGTTTGAGTACTGTATCAATTTACGGTCATTCATGAATTAGACATGTGCAGCATCTGAATATCTATTTGTACAAGATCGGCAAGTATAGAGACATAAGCCCACAGTATCAATTTGTCCCAGTGGGATCAGAGACCTTGGGATCATGGGGAAAAATACCACAAGTTTCCTTAAAGAAACGAGTTCCAGACTCATCGACACCACCAGGAACCCAAGGGCAGCCACTACCATGTTCCATTATTATTATAATCAAGGGGGAAGCGCTAAACCCGGAGGATTATACAGCGCCTGGGGGGGGGGATGTGGAAGGCATTCAGGCTTAATTCGGGGAACTGGAGCACAGATCCAATTCCCTAAATCAAGAGCCCCTCACCAACATCAAGGAACCTTCCTTGAGGGGTACCATGTTCCAACGCCTCAACGTGGCCTCCAGAGGGGAAATGCTTGCTGCATACAGGGCTCGCATCCGGCTTCAGAGGAGATTCATAACCTTTGATATATTGTACCAATGTATTCATGTTTGTGTTTTCTGTCAATGTATTCTAATAAAGTTAACATGTAATATAAAATATAGGGGGTGGTAGAAGAAAATATTCAAACGGCTCCGGGGAGAACCTCGAGTTTTCCCAGAGGTACGTTGTCTTCTGAGGATGAGGGTTCCCAGTAAAGTTCTAGGGGTGGTACCTTACATTATCAGTGAAAAATTAAATATTTGTAGAAGTTTCGCCCTCCATTCTTGAAGACTACCGTACTCTTCCACTCCAAATTATTATTATAATCAAAAAGAAGCGCTAAGCCACAAGGGCTATACAGCGCTGCAGGGTAGGGAAGGAAGCGAGGGTATTGGATGGCAGAAGGGAGGAGGGATGATCAGTAGGTTACAGAAAACAGCGGGGCAGGGGATAGTACGGGGGTAGGGGGTAGCAGGAGATTGAAGTAGAAAGGGCTGAAGGTATCAGAATTTGTGAAGTAAGTCAGTTGTTGTCAAAAAGTCAATGAGAGAGTCTGGATGAAAGGTGGGTCCATCAGCGAGAAGGGAAGGTAAAGAGAGAGCAGCAGAGCGAAGACGACGACGGAGGTAAATTCTGCATGCTCGTTGATAAAGTGGGCAGCCCAACAGAATGTGGCTGACTGATAATGGAACTTGGCAATTCTCACAGAGAGGAGCAGGGTGCCTCTCCATGAGATATCCATGAGTAAGACGAGTATGGCCAATGCGAAGATGGGGAGAGTAGTACTCCCAACCTCGACACTGGTGATAAGAAGACGGCCAGTAACCTATACTCGGTTTAATAGATTGAAGTTTGTTGCCGAGCATAGTAGACCAACGTTGTTGCCAACGGGTGTGAAGTTGGGAAGATATTGCAGCAAAATAGTCCGTAAATGGAATACCTCTACATGAAACTGGTAGGTCATGTACTGCTGACGCGCAGCAGTGTCTGCCTGTTCATTGCCCTGTACGTCAACATGACCAGGGACCCAACAAAAAACAATATCTTTATGCTTGGTAAAGATGCGGCGTAGCCAAAGTTGGATACGGAGGACTAAGGGGTGAGGTGTATCAAATTTCTGTATAGCCTGTAAAGCACTAAGGGAGTCTGAGACAACCACAAATGATGACACAGGCATAGATGCAATATGGATAAGTGCTGTAAGGATGGCATACAATTCAGCAGTAAAAATACTAGCCGAAGATAGTAAATGCCCTTGTACGACGCTATCCGGAAACACTGCTGCGAATCCTACGCAGTCAGAAGACTTAGAGCCATCTGTGTACACAGCAATGCATGAGAATGAGAGTGAAAGTGGTCAAGAAAATGAGAGCGGGAAGCGACCATAGACAGTTGGGCTTTCGAGCAAGGGAGAGAGAAAGAACAGACTCGAACAGCTGGAACTTCCCAGGGGGGTAGGGAAAAGTGAGATGCTACATGTACATAGAAAGGTGGTAATTGAAGAGAAGACAAGAGCGAATTAAGGCGAAGAGAGAAGGGATGGATGTAAACAGGGGCGGCGAACAATAAAGAATGTCTACTAATATCAGTGGACCATCTTAAATGGAAGGATTGCGGGATTCATGAGAGGTACATAGTAGCGAAGCAATGGGTATCATGGCGATCGGATAAGGATGGAAGTTTGCTTCTGCATAGAGGCTCCGACAGGGGAGAGCGGAAAAGCACCAAGGCATAAACGTAATCCTAGTGATGAATGGGGTTAAGGCTAGAGAGTAGTAAGCAGGAGATGCCGCTGAATGATCTGGTCACCATAATCAAGTTTCAATAGATAAGGGTGGAATGTAGGCGAAGGAGATTCGACGATCAGCTCCCATGAAAGATGAGCGGGTTTTAAGGAGGTTCAGGCCGGCTGTGGCAAGTTGCTTCAGAGAAGGTATGTGAGGTTTCCAGGATACAACCTACGATCAAGAGGAGGCCTGAAACTTGACTATCATGTTCAGGATAAGGAGCAATAGAGGTACAACAGGATGATCAGAGATGACAAGCGTCTAGTGAAACGTAATTTGGTGGGTTTAGTGTCTGAGAAATTTAAAACCCAGTGTGGTTGCCCAATTTATAACACGGATCGACTGCATACGGAGTGAAACTGTTTAATAAAAGTTGACAGTCAGCGCCTGCACAGGCAATAGCGAAGTCATTCAACATAGAGTGATGACCAAATATTTGATGGAAGACTAGAGGCAAATCATTATAGCAAGGAGAAATATGTGTTGTGTCAGAATACAATCCCTGGGGGGACACCTTCAGCTTGGATAAAGTCCGGGGAGGAGACATTTATTAACCCGAACACGGAAATGCATGTCAGTTAAAAAGTTCTTAAGGAGGATGGTAGATTGCCTCGAAAGGGCCTAAGGAGTGGGATTGGGCTAAAAATAATTATACTCTCCAAGTTGTGTTCATATGCCTCTCAAGGTCAAAAAATATGGCAATAAACGAGTTGGTTATTCGCAAAAGGCATTACGAACTACGTATACAAGCGTCTTAGTAAGGGGTCTTGGATAGACGATCCTTACGAAAGCCATATTGACGAGTGGAGGAAAAGAAGACTGGTGTGTGTCTCTAAATACCACACTAAACGTCTATTTACTAGCGTTCATCACGCTTTGCAAACTTGCCCACTGGTACAGAGCAATTGGACGATGGTGGGAGGTTTCATGTTCCCGTTAGTGCCTGGTTTGCGGAAAGGGAGAAACAATGGCGGATTTCACAGCTGCTGTGGAGAACTCCTTGTGACCAAATAAGATTGTAAAGGCGTAATAGGGACTGCAAGGGGCTGACTGATGTAAATTGTTTGTAGCATTACGAATACGAATGTCGTCGGACCAGCTGCGATGATCGGGCAGTGAGTGTGTTGCCTCAGTTATTGAAGTATAAAAGGCACCATTATATGTTCTTCTCTGAGAGAAGAAAAGTCCAAGGGTGCTGTACTACTCTGCAGACGTTGAGGAAAGAAATGAAGGGGCATAGATGGAGTCCCTGAGAAATATGGACCAGATGATTGCCAATTTCATTGGCATAATCTAGTGGGTTTGCTATATCAACACACGGCAAACCGCAGAACAGGAGACGGGTCATGAGATATTTACCACTCAGTTTTCGTACTTTTTCCAGACTGCACTCATAGAGGAAGCATGAGGTGATGGTGGAGACATAATCTCGCCAGCAAGTGCGTTGAGCATCACGGATGGACACAGCGAGCGATCGCACGTTCTGCTTAAATTCAAGAAGTCTCTGTGGTTCTATTTTACCGGTACCTGCCCATTGCAGCGCGTTTCAAACGTACTGC